AAAATAGCAAAAATGAGACATTTGGAATCATGTCTATATCAAATATTTGGACAACGGGTGCTGAACAAACTGATGGTCTATGTGATTCCCCCCCCTCTCCTGCCTCTCCCCTCTGACTCCCCCTATGCTCTTCCTGTTGGTTCCCTGTCACTCAAGAGCAGCATTTGGGCTGCACTGGAGGAGGGAAGGTGAGGAAGTCCCACCCCACTGACAGAATTGACTTCCATCACCAAATATTTACCATTGGATGCAAGCTACTAATTAAAATATACAAAAAAAAGAAAAACTGCTGAGAAAGTACGCAATTTGGATCAGGAAAGTAGCTCCAAAATCCCGCCCCCGCCCCCAAAGAAAGACTGTATTTTGTTCATCATAGTGTTCCACAGATATAGCTGCAAAGGGAATCACAGTTGAAACCCCATAGGGGGGATCAGGAAAAGGCAATTTAGAGTGGAAAACTGGTGGGTGGAGTTAAGGTCCAGCAGATCCCACCACCTACCACTTCTCTGCTCCCCATCACCTATTCTTGAACCTAATGAACCAGAGTCTTGTTCTGTCAAGGTCAGTAGTATCTACTTTGATTGAATGCAGTTTTCCAAGGCGTCTGGGTCTTTCCGTATCACCTACTACTTAATCCTTTTGACTGGCAACGTTGGGGATAGAACCTGGGAACTTCTGCATGCGAAGAAGATGCTCTATCACTGACCAGGACCCCTCTCCATAGAAATAGAAAGTTCCGGAGGTTTTTTATGTGCATTTGTAAGTGATGTATAGTTTGGCCAAACTGAGTGGTCTTGAGCAAGCCATTATCTTTTGATCTCATTTTTGAAAACTGATAGAAACAGTAATGTATGATATACAATAGCGTGTATATCTGTCACTCAGAGGGGGAAGATGCATACGCTCTCCTAGCATCTGGCGCATACTCATCTCTCAGGAGAAGCTGTGCTTCTCACGAACACTGAGGTCGCATGGTGGTGGTGGAAAGTGCTGTCAAGTCACAGCTGACTTATGGTGACCTCATGGAGGTGGTTGGCCATTGCCTGCCTCTTCATCGCAACCCTGAACTTCCTTGATGGTCTCCCATCCAAGTATTAACCGGGGAAAACCCTGCTTAGCTTCCAAGATCTGATGAGACCAGGCTAGCCTGGGCTATCCAGGTCAGAGCAAGGTCTCATACAGTTCAGATTTCATTTTTTGTAAGCTTTCTCAGTTCTGAAGTATATTTTCCTTATGGGAATTTCTTGGCCAGATGTCTCTTGCATGTGTACACCATGAGTTGTAGCTCAGGGTCATGAAGTAGCCAAATGTGTGTTGGCATGCCATCAAAAAGGGAGGCCAGGGAGCAAGCAGTCACCCCTCCATCATGCCTGGGCCCAGTAGGGAAGTCAGGAACCAGCCAGACCCTGGTCCATCATGCTGGAAGCCAGCTCTAGCCAAAAGCCCTCCTTCCTTTAAGAGAAGAGATTGGATTTATATCCCACCCTTCACTACCTGAAGGAGTCTCAGAGTGGCCCTTCCCCTTCCCCTCCCCACAACAGACACCCTGTGAGGTAGGTGGGGCTGAGAGAGCTCTCTCGAGAACTGCCCTTGAGAGAACAGCTCTGAGAAAACTTGTGACTGACCCAAAGTCACAGCAGCAGCTGCATTTGGAGGAGTGGGGAATCAAACCTGGTTCTCCCAGATTAGAGTCTGAATGCCTAACCACTACACCATACTGGTTCTGTTGCATCGATGGTATACCATGGGTACACACTTAACTTCTCTTGCAGCCATGGTACACCAGAGAGACAGCAGGAAACAGCCAGACACCCCCTCCATCATAGCCAGATGTGGCTCAGTTCACACTCCCTTTCCCATAGAACCTTTGTGGTGAATTTGATATAATTTTTATATTGGCTTTTAATTCCTGTGAGACATTTTGGGAGCTGATTTTGACTAGAAAGCAGAATGAAGAAATGTAATGAACTCACCTTTACATTTCTGACTGGGGAGTGGGGAAATTAATCGCATTCATTTCATAATTTGAAATATAAGGCTTTAGACATTCGAATTGTTTTAATTAGCATCCCCATGTCCTCAGATAAAGGGTGGGATTCAATGTTAAAAGAATGGCAGTGCAGCGGCTGCTCTGTGTTTTTCCCTGCCCTCTTCCTGTAAACTGTAAACATCACACCAGGCCCCGCCTTCACAATACTGATGGTCAGCAGCAGGGACAGGGAAATGGTGCAATAACATCACACACAGTGCCAGGGGCCCCCAACCCTTTTGATCCAATGGGCACCTGGGAATTTGGACACAGGTTGGCCACAGTGGGAGGTGGGGCCAACCACAAAATGGCCACTGCAGAAGGAAGAGGTGGGGGAGCCCAAATGCAGGGGACGAGAAGAGTGATTTTTGAAAATACACTGGAACAGAGGAGAGAGAGAATAAAACAAACTCTATGGGGGCAGCTTCTGATGAAACGATGTTATCTTAATCTGTGCAGCCAATCAGATCCCCGATACGCATCAGAAGCCCTGCTGGGCTGTAGCCTCATCTGGCCACACCCAATTTCTAAAAACACATGGTGGGCACCAGAAAAGTTGTTGGTGGGTACCACGGCACACGTGGGCACCACACTGACGACCCCTGCACTGTGCTCTACTACATACAGGGTTTGCCATCTCTGGCTTGGGAAATTCCCGGAAATTTGAGCATGGTGTCTGGGAAGAGTAGAATTTGGGGAAGGGACAGAACTCAGCAGAGATGAGATGCCATAAATTCTGCCTTCTGAAGTTGCCATTTCCTCCAGAGTCTGTGGTCAGGAGTCACACACACACCACCACCACCCCAGAAGTTGGAAACCCAACTACATATATATTATTAGGAAGCAGAGAGGGAAAACCCCAGCTCAACCAATGCTATCACTTAGTTCTAATCTGAGAAAAGTAGTTTGGACCTAGTGTCAAGGTAGATAGGAGGAGGAGGAGAAAGGATTTATACCCCGCCCTTCACTTGGAGTCTCAGAGCGGCTTACAAACTCCTTTCCCTTCCCCTCCCCACAACAGACACCCTGTGAGGTGGGTGGGGCTGAGAGAGCTCTGACAGAAACTGCTCTTTTTTCAAGAACACCTCTGACAGAACTATGGCTTGCCCAAGGTCATCCAACAGCTGCGAGTGGAGGCGTGGGGAATCAAACCCGGTTCTCCCAGATTAGTCCATGCACTTAATCACTACACCAAACTGGAAGATGCAATCCCAGAACCTTCTCTCTCCCTACTCCTTCTCGTTCTCTAACGGCTTTTTTAGAAACAAAGTCTTCCTTTCCGTTCTGCATTTAAAGCAAACTCAGCTGCTAGTGCCGCCTGAGGTCCACTTGCTCTTCCACAGCTCCACCATCACCAGAGCACTGGGCATAGAATCATAGTGTTGGAAAGGACCTCCAGGATCATCTAGTCCAACCCCCTGAACAATGCAGGAAATTCACAACTACCTCCCCCCTCCACGCCCCCAGTGACCCCTGCTCCCTGCCCAGAAGATGGCAAAAAAACCTCCATGATCCCTGGCCCACAGGCCTGGAGAAAATTGCTTCCTGACCCCAAAGTGGTGATTGGGATTTCCCTGGGTGTGTAAGAAAAAGCCACGAGAATTAAGCACTGAGCATCTAAATTTCCTTGCCTACTTTCTCCTGTAGGCTTTAGAAGCAACGCTGCAACCAAACTCTTATGAGAGGAAGGAATTTCACAAGAGCTCATGCGTATCTCATGCTGTTTTCAAAGAGTCCTGTAGGAATGAAGAGGCCAGGATTAACAGCTCCAGTTCCCAAGCAGGGGCAGGAATATAGGAGAGGCTGACAAGGTGAAATGGGTGATGTGGTAATCAAGGAGACAGGTGAATATGATGGGAAGTAGGCAACAGGCGGACAAGATATTGCCTCCCCCAAATCTACCTGAGATGTCCCTAAAAGAGAGTAACTTTCTTACTACCTTGAGTGAGCTCTCTGAGAACTGAATGATCAAAGTGTATATTTCAGTTTCTGTTTTGGAGCTGCTGAGAGATTTTTCTTCAGGTTCATTTCCTGTTTCCTGAAAACCTCTCTGATTTGGTTTCGGGGTTCAAGTTGAAGATTAGATCTATTTCCTTGCTTGAAACACTTTCAGACTCAATGATCTATTAGACCGTAGGCCATGGGCATTTATTTATTTATTTACTGCAGTCACGTCACAGCTGATTTATGGCAACCCCATAGCGTTTTCAAGGCAAGAGACGTTCAGAGGTGGTTTGCCATTGCCTGCCTCTGCCTCATGATCCTGGTATTCCTAAATACTAACCAGGGTCGACACTGTTTAGCTTCCAAGCTCTGATGGGATCAGGTTAGTCTGAGCTATCCAGGTCAGGGTGGCCAAGGGCTTCACATTCATTATTATATGAACCAACATGCCGAAGTCCGGATACATTGCTTGGGCTCCTAGGCTGTGTTTCAGTAAATAAACAAGAATGACAAATCTCTCTAAAATTAAATTTCGGAACAATGTCAACAAGATATCAGCTATGCTGATTGGCACGGGCTGTGTCATCACTCAGGAGGTATTACCTTCTGGAGGTGCTATTTCCGCTAATGAACTCTCTCAGGTTTTGACTTGCCCAAGGCTATTTGAGATACCCCAGCAGGTAGCGCATATTGTATTTCAAATCTAGACTATCTCAAATATACTTTCATGCTAGTTATGACTCTCTTGGCTATAAAATCCAGGAGCAAGATAGATCATCAAAACCTTTTCCCACATTTCTTTTGAATAATGCAGCGAAATGACAACTTATACATCAGGCTGCCTGCGATATTACAATATGAATGTCAACAACACGACTGGTTAGTTGCTTTCTTTCCATGGGAAAGATCACCTTGTGCACACACGGGCTTTTGAAATTTACATTGAGGACAGCTGGTGTATTACTGTGATAGCATATACACACACACAAATGCACAGACACGTCAAAAAAACCCCTCTCATGTCACTTACTGGCTCCAGCTCTGCCATGGAGGCTGGAAGTTCACGTACAGCAAGCAGGAGGTCCAGCCTTTGGCCCAAGTTAGGTATTTTACACATCTGCATAAAGATAGGGAGAGGATAGTTTAGAAAAGTTGTCAGCTGTCATAAGTATATAACTCCAGAGCTACAATATACCAGCCATCTATATAGGTGGTGATCCTCACTTAGTGGCTTGGGAGACCCCAGCGGCTCTTTGATATGCTACTTTTGGCTCTTCTGATCACTGTTCTTCAATTTGGCACCTGCCTCATGTTTCAGGAACAGGACCGCCAAGCCCCAGTCAGGGCAGGGGATCCCCTGCCCTTAGTCCCATTGCCCACTGCCACTCCGAACAGCAGTGGGAGAGAAAAAAATTAAAAGGAGGCACCAGCTGTAATGTCATACCACTTTCAGTACAAAAAATGGAAGTGGCATATGGTAACTCTAGAACAGCCAGAAACTCCATGGTAAAACCATGGAGTTTCTGGCAATTCCTAGAGCTACCTATGTCACTTTTGTTTATGTTTTTTACTGGAAGTGACATGCCACAGATGGCTTTGCGACCCCCCCCCCAATCTCGCAGCCCTCCATCTGGTTGCTGAGCACTGCCTGGCAACTCTATTAAGAAAAGTGGGCAAGGTCCTTGTCTCATAGGGCTTGTGGTCAACAGGTGGTTTCCATCTTGAAGCAGTCACCATCAGCTGCAAGCCTCTCTCTGGTGCAGGTTTCATGCCAGGGATGGAACTAAATGTGTCTCTTTTAGTGGATGGTAATTGTGCAGAAGGTTCTCCATAAGCTGTAGAGTAAGTGCCATTGTTACTATGGCCTGCAATTCAACAGTTCTCCAAGGTCTCAGCAGAGGTCTGTCCTAGTATATGGGATCCCTTTAACTGGAGAGGCTAAGGATCAAATGTTGGGCCTTACAATACGGGCATAAGACTACTGACATCATACATGGTGGTTGTATAGATTAATGAGATGAAGTCTTGCAGTGCAACGTTTCAGCTTTCTAAATCCACTGAAGTAAATGTGTTTAGGTGTTGCCTTCACTGTGCGGCATAGGGCACGTTGTTGGGCTCAGCCCTCTCTGCTAGTCATTCCCATCACAGAGGAAATAGCACTACCGGGGTCCAACTCTATCACTTTGATGTATGTTATGTAATACAACATTTTCACTACATTGTTCTCCAACCTTCTTTTACTGCCCGTGTCACACAGTACTTTTATTACATTGTTCTCTACTTTTGTGGGTTGTATGGTATTATACTGTTCTTACAACGTTGTTTTTAGCTGCAAGACCCCTTGAGTCTCATTGAGAGAGGTGGAGTACAAATGAAGCAATAAATAAATAGTAGAATTCCGCTATCTGATAGTCCCAGCTTACGCACTGAGCTCTCAATGAAAATAAGGCCGGAAGAGGGAAATTTGCCACTGAGATGCCTATCTTTGGGGAAATGTATTGTCTAAGTCAAGGGTCCCCAAAATTTATTTTTCGTTTGTTTGTTTTTTGTATTTTTTATGTGCATGTATATGTGTGTGAGTGTGTGTGCACCTGGAAGTCATGGCGACCTCTGGTGACTGACCCCTACTGGGGGCCTGGAGGATATTCAGAAAGGTTGCTGAAATAAAGCCTGCCCTCGCCTCCCAACTGCTGGTATTCTAAGGTGGTCTCCCATCTAAGGTGGTCTCCCATCCAAATACTTGCCAGAGTTGGCCCTGCTTAGCTTCCGAGATCTGACGAGATCGGGTTTGCCTGGGCTATCCAGGTCAGGGCTGGGATCCCCAAAGGTTTTGAGCCTGTGAGCACCATTGGAATCCTGACACAGGATGGTGGGCACAACCACAACATGGCTGCTGCAAGATGTGGAGCCAACCACGCAGAGGAATCCCAGGTGCAGGGAAGAAGAGTGGTAATTTAACAAATACACTGGGAAAGAGGATGGAGAGAGAACAAAATCTATGGTGTGGTGGCAGCTGCTACTGGAACAACTTTTTTAAAATCTGCACAATGAATCAGTTTTCTGGTGGCCACTCAGAAGCCCTGCTGCACAAAAGCCCCACCCATTTGGTGGGCACCAGGAAGGGCCCCACACTGGGGAGGTCTAAGTGTTCTCTGGGGTAATATAGCTGCCATTATTTATACAGTCCAAAGAGCCCTCTAAAATGCTGGATATAATTCTCAGTACAAGAAGCCTTTGAATGTTCATGCCAGAACCCAATCCCTTTTTATAGACTACAGAACTGTGAGGGTTAAATAGCAAGCATTTTTGCAGATCAGGGTGTTTGAGCTGCCACAAGAATAATCTCTGAATATCCGGAAGTGCCTTCCAATTTGATCATGAAGAGCAAATAATCAAGGACAATATTCAAGTCACTGATGGTCCCAAAGAAGATGTGAGGAATTAAAGCTGGAGCTGTAAATGCCAGAAAAATTATGTGGAAAATGTCTCTCCACTCCAATCATTTAATAGGACCATAGCTTAAACTATTGATCTGGCATAAAAAATCATACCCATGGGAAGTTATCTTGCCTCGTACCCTATACCCCCCACATGAGATGGGCCACATGGACTCTGGCTGACACTGAAATTTGCAAAGTTTTTTTAAATCACTTGGTTTCTAATCCTAAAATTTTAAAAGAGGGTTTTCAGCACAGTCATCTGATCAGGTCAAGATACCTGAATACATAGAATAGCCAACTATCTGCCAACAATTTGTTTTCAATGAAGTTTCACAAGTTTCATTTTTACATACTTCTGAAGTCAGAACAAAACAATCACACAGAACACAAAGGAAGCAAATAATTAAGCAGGTATAAAGCCATGATTTTAGATGCAGATATCGTTCTTACTTCTAGCATAAACTGATCCACCTGATGTAGTTCTGAAGGAGAACCTTTGAAAGACTGGTACATTTCCATATCCTTTAAAGTGGGCTGGTATCTGTGGAAAGTCAATATAAATTATCACTCCCTGCTCCAAGAAATTGATGGAAAATATGGATTTTGTTGCTAACGAAGTTATAACAACAGAAGAAGGTGATATTTTTCCTCCATTATTTCCTTAATTTTAAAAGAACATCTCAAAATATATGCAAATAAGCAAAAGATGGTATATTAAAGATATTGAATAAATAATATTAAAAAAATAATTTTAAACCCAAAAACTCCTTAAAATTTTGCATGTATTTTACTAATAGGAGAGAGAATAGGGTTTTTATATTCTCTCCCTGAAACCCCATCTCTGCCAATGCTCCCTCTAAGCTCTGGAGTCTTGTGAGGAAAAATTCTACTTTGTGAGCTCCTGGCATTAAAGCTGTGAGGAAACGATTTGGCTAGTGCATAACTTAGTTTGCTCTGGAGCTGTCCTTCCTGAGCTCAGACAAAAATGTGTGAGCCGGAGGCTAAAAAAATTGTGAGCTAGCTCACACTAACTCAGTTTAGAAGGAACATTGATCTCTGCTGCTATCTTAAGATGATGTCAACTTGCTCCAGAAATTGGCTCTGGTTCATATTGTGCCTCAAGGTTCCACCTTGTTCCCTGGGGTGTTAAACTTTAACATCTGCATGACATCCTCCAGAGATCTACAGTATTAATATGCTGATGATACACAGCTCTCCATCTAAATCCAGAGAAGGGCTGGAAATATTTAACACATAATAGGAGGTAGTGAAGAACTGGATGAGGATGAATAAACCAAAACTCAGCCCAAAAGAGACAGAAGCACAGTTAGTTCTGAGTATGGTTGCCAGTCCACTGCCTGGCATCCCTGGGAGATTTGGGGTGGAGCAAGGGTGAACATTGGTTTCATGCCCCAACAAAATCCCAGACATGATATCAGCACATCAGCCAACACTCTGGACTTCCCCCAGCTCTATGGTATTACCATAGAATTTGGTGGATATTCCAGAGCATCAGCCAATGAGCCGATGTCACATCCAAGCTTTTACCCAGACATTATGTCAACATGTCATGTCATGTCATTTCCACCACTGACCACCATTCTCCCACTGTCCTGGACACAAAGGTGGGAGGGAGGGCTGCACAAGCAGAAGATTGCTCACCCAAAACATGAAAATTGCAAGACTTGTTGGGAGGGCAGGTGATTGATATGGGAACTGGTGTTCAACCTGGATGGGACTGCACTTTCTCTGAAAGATCCAGATCACAGAATGTTCCTGGGATAAGGAGGTGATAGAAGTGCTGAGTTGCCTTTTACCTGCTTGGGCTGTTCCCATTTCTGGGAAAAATCTGGCCTCTTCACTATTACATGTGGGCTTGGATCTATCAGAGATTTCAATGGACAGAAGGGATTTCCTTCCAGAGAGTGGACTTTCCGCCAAATGCTGGTCTGGAGGGGCAGGGGACCCCAGCACTGTGACTGCATGTACAGTATGCAATTGCTACATGACAATCCTCCTATGTGTGCAATCATCATTTCTTCTGAAAAGAGCAATGTGTGGTTTTCCCACATGTTGGAAGAAACATGTTTTAATTTAAATTTAAGATTTAATTTAAGTTAAGTTTTAAATTAAGATTTAAAGTTTTAAATAAAGTTCTAAATTAAGATTTAAATTAAGTTTCAATCTGGTACATGCATACCAGATACCAGATTACATTAGCATCTGGTACACATGAAATATGTATTATTTAAACCAGGTTTTAATGTAAACTGAAATATACGTATGTTGCCCATTCCAGAAGAAACGGCTATCATGCATATCAGAAAGACTGTGTGTAGTATGTTTGTCCTGTACACACACACAGTCAGGGCTTCTCTCTAAATGATATAAAATGCAGCCAGGCAACTGATATGCATTAATATCTATGGCACATCCCGCAGAAAACTGGTGGTTTAGAGACCTTTGCTGCTCAGCTTATTAAAAAATGTGGTATATCTGAACAAGACCATTGATTCATAACCATTAGTAGACCACCACTAATGGAACTTACAGGAATAAACCACTTTGAAAAGGGATTAGATAGATTCATGGAGGATAAATCAATGGCTACTAGTCATGGTGATGGAGGGGAACCTCCACATTCAGAGGCTCTAAACCTCTGAATCCCAGAGCCAGGAGGCAACATCATGGGAAGGCCTTGGGCTCTATGCCCTGTTGTTGGCCATCCAGAGGACGAAGTATCTGAAGAACTGAGCAGTGACTCACGAAAGCTCATACCTTCCACAAATTTTTGTTAGTCTTTAAGGTGCTACTGGACTCTTTTCTAATGCTACAGACAGACTAACATGGGCTGCGGTCACACGGAACAGAAGCCACACAAGTGAGACGGAAAACAGGCGGAGTTTCCGGGCGCGATCTCACCAGCACATCTGGGAAGCATAGCACTCCCGTGGCACAACCGAAGCTTCCAGCCGAAACTGCGTGGCAAAAAACTAGTACCTCGGAGGTACTAGTTTCCGGAAACTGCGGGGCAAGGGCGGGCGTCTGATCGCGTTTCCGGTGGCATCCGGTGCCCGCCCATGTCCCCTTGCAAATAAGGTGGGTTTTTTTGTCCACGTCTCTGTGGATGCGCACACGCACCCAACGGAGCATGCGCATTCGTCGTGTACACACAAAAAACCCCAGTTTGCCGTGGCACGCGCTTCTTCGTTGCGCGCCGGCTTGTCCTGTGATCAGCACCTCTCCCTTGCCATGGAACCTCCACGGTACCTCCACAGGACCTCCACGGGAGGTCTGATCGAGTAACTGCGCAGTAGTTTGCCCCAGGGCAAACAGCCACGCTTCTCCCCCGCAGTTTCCTGCCCGTGTGACCGGGGCCATAGTTACCCATCTGGGTTGGCCACTGTGTGAGACAGGTCATTGAACTAGATTGACTATTGGTCTGATCCAGCAGGGCTCTTCTTATGTCCTTAATCTAAACTTTCCATGCAATTTCCTCTAGTAAGGTCCCCCAGTACGTGTATCTTGGATGCCAGGGTATTGCAGAGTAATTCGAGGCATTGTTCTAAGGTGTGCGCTCACCCAGCTGATATATCTTACTGACATCATATGAGGTTGTGCCCCAGAACTCCCTCAATACTCTCTATTGCCTTTGTCTGTTGTTAGGGAAGAGCCATACGGTGGGGTGAGCTTTGTTTGAGGGTAACACATCTAACCTTGTTGACCTTCTCAGTGCAGAACCTCAATAAGTTTCCAAGGACACAGTGAGGCAACCATTGATTCATTTACAATAGCATAATTTGATCAGCTCTACACATAGATTTGAAACAGTGGCGTGTGGCCACTCATTGTATTGTAACTGAGGTTTGTTTGTAAGCAATCTTTTTCTCTGTAGTGCAGGGGACACTTGAAACAGCCTCAGCCTTGCTGGAGTAGCAGCAAGCCATGCCATTCTCCGCAGGAGACTTTGGAACGGCATGGAGAATTTCCAAAGCAGCATCACAAAAAACTCTCCATTGCGAGTAGAATCAAGTAGAGGGTGGTGTTGGATGTTATTAAAGTGACACGGTAAGGCATCACGGGGAGTTTTCTTTCTTTTTTCCCAAGCAGGCACAGTAAGATGATTTTTAAAAATGCACAGTGGCCCTTAGCCCTGTCAGCTTCAATGGGATTAATTCCATTTAAACCCAAGTAATTTGGCTCAACGGATTCTGGATTGGTCTGTTTTGCTGCTCGCTCTGCTTAAAGCTTAGCATTCCCAGCAGCGAGGTGGCTTATGGTTTCTCTGCAGAACAATGAGTAACAGAGAATAAAATTTTTTTGAGATACATCCCTAATTTTCAATGCAGAAAGCAGGAAACCTCAGCTGCTTCAGTAAACAGTAAACACAACCCCTGGCTTTCCTTTTCATTTGCCGAAAACGATGCTGTTTCCAAAAAGTAATATCTATCATAAATAAAGGATTGTATCCAAAAAGGTTACCTTCTTAGCGCCATAATCTGCTCATCGCTAAGTCCACCACTGTCTTCATGTATAATGTATAATTTTTTTTTCAGCTGGCTTGGCTCGATGCGGAAACTTTTAAGAAAAATGTCTAGGGGAAAACGATTCTTTGATTACTTGTAGATAAATGCACAAGGGACTGGGGAGGGGGGCACACTGGGGTATAGCAGAGCCGATTCCCCTTGCAGAGTTAGCTTTGCTTCGTGCCCTTGAAAAAGCGAAGATGAAAAGTCGGGCCTCCAGTATCCTTAAGTACAAATGCCATCGATGCATACATATGTATATATTTGATTAAAGTGTAGCTGAGGCATTAGACAGATGCACAATCAAGATACTGTAACACAGATGCACTCAGAAGCTTATTGCTAAAAGAGGTTAGTTTAGTTAAGAATTTTTAAAATGTCTCGATGGATCTAAGAACAGGCCTCACTCAGTCCATCATCCTGTTTTCCACAGTGGCCAGCTAATTTCCTCAGAACCCAACAGCTGGCCTTGAAGGCAATGGTCATTTTGGTGTAATGGTTAAGTGCGCAGACTCTAATCTGGGAGAACCAGGTTTGAATCCCCACTCCTCCACTTGTACCTGCTGGATGACCTTGGGCAAGCCATAGTTCTGATAAGAGCTGTCCTTGAAAAAGAGCAATTTCTGTCAAGCGCTCTCTCAGCCCCACCTACCTCACGGGGTGTCTGTTGTGGGGAGGGGAAGGGGCAGGAGGAAGCCACTCTGAGACACCTTTGGGTAGGGAAGGGTGCGGTATAAATCCAATCTCTTCTTCTTCTTCTTGTAGATTGTTCACAGAAATTGGCTATTAGACATACACTGCCTCTGAATCTGGAGGCTCTATTTAACCATCATAGTCATTTATCTATATTTTAAATCCTGCTTTTCTCTCCAGGAGGGACTGAAAGTGGTTTACAATACCGTTCTCCCCTCCTCCGCTACATCCTCACAACCACCAACCTCAGAAGTAAGTTTAGCTGAGAGAAAAAAGCCAAGGTCAGTGAGCTTCTGTGTTGGAGAGAAGATTTGAATGTGGGTCTCCAGATAACTAGTCACACACACAAACCACTGCACCACACTGGCTCTCCAAAGCCGCAAGCAGAAACTCCAACAAAGCATACTTTCATGTGTTTGGAATAAAGATGGTGTGCCTTTATAAAAATTATCTTTGTTTATGACAATAGCAAGAAGAGGTTGGTGATAGTTTCACCAGCTGCATTTTTGCCAATCCAATAGATGTAATTCCCTTTCTAGTCACTCCATTCACATTGCAAGTTTATTCTCCAGAGGGCAGTTATTTTCAAAGATTCTGTCTGAGGGAACCCTTCCCATGTTGACTTTTCTGCTGAGGAAGAGCAGCATGTCTGTCATGGAACCAAAGTTGCCAAGCTCTGTGGTGGGACATCCCTGGAGATTTGTGGGTAGAGCCTGCAGAGGGTAGGTTTCAGAGAGTGGAGAGACCTCAGCAGGGTAAGCTACCCTACATGGAACTCCTCTTGATTTCAGAAATTTCTGGACTACGGCCTAGGTTTTGTACTCAATTAAAACTAGGCTTCACTGCGTTGCGCCCTCTGCTGGACCAGATGACTAATATCAATAATAAACTAGTCTGTCTCCAGAAACAAATGATGGATACAGTGAAGAAGAGAGATGAAACTAATAAAGCAATGAAAAAAGTTGCTGATAAGGCAAATGCTATTAAGCAGCAATTGGAGGTAGTGGAGAAAGAGTGGATCTCCAATAAAGAGCAATTATTACAGCTACAAATGGAGAAATTACTATATATCCTAAGATTCCAGGGTATCCCAGACCAACAAGGGGAGAATTTAAAAGAATTATTCAGCGAAGCACTGGCACCAATGACAGAGTTAAAACCGGATTCACTACAAAGCAATATGGATATGGTTTATCAAACCTATCCAGATTTTATCAAGAAAAATAAACTGCCTGGTGAAATATTTGTTAAATTCTCCAGAAGATCAACCAGAGATGCAATTTTAAAAGCGACAAATGGGAAATTACTGAAAATCAAAGGTGAAGATCTTAAAAGACATTCCATTTGAAATACGCAAGAAGAGACGACAATATAAAATTTAATTTCTTTTCTACACAAGAACTCCACCCCTTTCAGATGGATATTCTCAGAAGGACTTATCTTCAGCTATAATGGAAAGAAAGAAAAAATTGACTCTGGCCCCGGTCACACTGGGGAAAAGGTGTGGCTGATGTGTGGCTTTTTTGAGCCGCATCAAAAGAGAAGCGTGGCAGCAGAATCAGACAGATCCTCCGAGCCGCCGCACATATGCTCCCCAGCATGATCAGATGCCGGGGGGAAGCCACAGATCGGTGAGCAAGGTGAGCCCGCTGCGCATGTGTGTGCATGTGCAGTTCTACAGGGCCTCCGTATGCGGCAGGGAGACGGGCGCATCGGCGATCAGATGCCGGCCCGTGCTGTGCATCAACAGGTAGGTAGTACTCTTTTGGTGCTACCTTTTTGCGGCGGGTTTTCGACTGGAAGGGACGGATTGGGGACGGGTGCGCGCCGCTTCCCATATGTTGCGGTATGATTGCGCCCGTTTGATGTGCCCCCGATCAGTCCCTCCCATGGGCAAATCCTCCCGTGTGACCGGGGCTTCTGCTGAAAAAACAAAATTGTTCCTGGACCAGCAACAATCAATGTCTAAAGTCAAAGAGAAAGCAGAGGACAATGTACAAGCAGAAGAAAAGAGTGATCATGATTCAGAAGCCAGTGAAAGTATTTTTGGCAGTTCTACAGAAGAGTCTGACTCTGAAAAAGGAACAGCAGCTCCTAAAGCTCTTAAAGTCCAACTGAGATTTGATAAAGCTAAGCACAAGAAATAATGATTGTAATGAATCTGAAAGTCTATTTGTGTTTAAAGATACTATGATGTACCCAATAAGGCTAAACGGGCTTGACTTAGCTTTAGTGATATAAGATGCTCAGTATTATTCTACTATATGCTTTATTCTAGTAATAGTAGGAAGGACCAGGGGTCTTGTTGTAGAAAAAGAGCTGCCGGAGCTCATTAGCATAACTCATTAGCATAACTTATTTGCATATGCCACGCCCCCTGACATCACCGGAAGTGTGTCAGAAGGCCCGGCTACTTACCCTCCTGCTTCATCCTCATTCCCAAACGGAATGAGGATCGAAGCAGAGGGCGGGGTAAAGAAGGGGGCGGGGCTTCACCACGTGACCGCCCCGCCCCCTAGAGGTTCTCTTCCGGAGCTCCGTACCTGAGAGCTCCCCCCCGACTAGAGCCCTGGGAAGGACTAATAGGTAATTTACATGTAACATGATCCTTGCTATATCTCTTGTTTTATTAGTATTATAGTATTCCCTATGTCCCTTTCCTATGTAGTTTGTAGTAAAAAAGCAATAAAAATTTACAAAAAAACCAAAACACTAGGCTTTTGGGATCTCACAGTCACCCATAAATTAACTTAGAATACATTCAGCACATCCTTGTTGTACTATATGGAACCTGTCTATTTAAGAGACAGGCTTAGGTCCTAAGAGGAATTCCTTCTCTTAGAATCAGAATCACAGAGTTGGAATGGGCCATACAGGCCATCTACTCCAATCCCCTCCTCAATGCAGGATCAGCCTAGAGCATCCCTGACCAGTGTTTGTCCAGCCACTGCTTAAAGACTGCCAGTGAGGGAGAGCTCACCACCTCCCTAGGCAGCTGATTCCACTGTTGCACAACTCTTACTGTAAAAAAGTTTTTCCTAAGATCCAGCCAGTACCTTCCCGCCCTTAATTTAAAGCCATTATTGTGAGTCCTATCCTCTGCTGCCAACAGGAGCAGCTCCCTGCCCTCCTCTAAGTGACAGCCCTCCCAAAACGTAAAGAGAGCAATCATGCCTCCGTTCAACTTCCTCTTGTCCAGACGAAACTTTCCCAAGTCCCTCAGCCTTTCCTCACACGGCTTGGTCTCCAGACCCCCGATCATCTTCGTCGCTCTCCTCTGCACCCGCTCCATTCTGTACACATCCTTTTTGAAGTGAGGGTGTGTCTTCTGGAATATACTAGTTGGAACTGGGTTGTTGGTAGTTAGGACTGTGCTCCTGTTTGAAACTATGCTGCCTCCTTATTTTGATGCCTAGCATTAAGGATGTGACACCGAGGAGAAACAGTGCAGTGCCTCGATGCCAAAACCTCAGACAAAAATAGCTGAAAAGCAGGCCCTTGTTCAATTTGCAGAGCAGAGACAAGAGATTTCTTGAAAGAAGTGGGACTAATTGAGAGGATTAAAAAAGCATTGTATAAAGATGTGATCTTTTATTCTCACCAGCATCTTTTTTCCCCTCTGACACTTTCCTCTGCCGGTCAATGAAGTGGCAATTCCGACCCCCCCCCCTTTTCAGTCCAGGTGTTCCAATTAAAATTTGCAAATGGATCTAAAACACTGTCTTTGTTTAGCTGCATCTACAGAGGTGAAATGATTACACTTTCCTAAATAGACTTTCTCCAAATTCTTTATTGTAACTTTCTGAAAAGCAGGGTGATGTTATATTGCTGTGAGAACTTTCTAGAATTGGGATCTGCAGCAGTGCAATGATGGGAACCATGGTGCCCACTTGTGGCTTTTCCTGGTTTCCATTTATGTCTTCAACAAGGTATCTTTTCCCCAAAGTAAAAGGCCAATCCTGGATATATTTTTTTTATCTCATTGTAGGAGGTCCCTCTGAAGGACCTTTGTGTCTGAAGGGAGCTCCAGTTCAGTTGGCTTGCAACTGCCCAATATTTTGTGATTCGCCCCCAAACATCATGGCACTTAACTAGTATGGCATAGTGGTTAAGAGCAGCGGGGATACTCTAATCTGAAGAACCAGGTTTGATTCTCCACTCCTCCATATGCAGCCTGCTGGGTGGCCTTGGGCCAGTCACAGTTCTCTCAGAACTCTCTCAGCCCTCCCCCTGCCTCACAAGGTGCCTGTTGTGGGGAGAGGAAGGTGATTGTAAGCCACTTTGAGAATCCTTAAGTTAGAGAAAAATGTGGTAGCCATTCTGTAGTGGCACCCAATCCCTGTTCTCAAAATTCCAAAAGTGCACCCAGGGTCAGGAATATTGGTAGCCCCTGTTCTAGAACTTTTCTGCTCAGAAACCTATGCTTGTCTGTCTGACCTGGATATTGTAGAGGATTCTGAGAAGGGTTCTAGTGTGTGCACTCCGTTCCTATAAGAGTGCTGGTCCTCAGCAAGTCTCCTAGGCCTCACTATTATTCCCTATGAATTGGAAGTACATACCTAACCCCTTCCAATGATGAAGATTTGTAGTGGTGAGAACTTCCTCATCTACCTTTCTTCTGAGACAGCTTCCAAGGAACACCATAGTTTCATGTAATACACTTTGAAAACCATTTGCCATCCCACCCACACGTTGACGTCATCTTGACTTGTTAAAGAAACCATAGTGCTTGACAAATCACTTGATTGTGTTCATTTTGTAACAGTCACTCCGCACAAAAGCAATCGGAGGGGGCTTTCAGCATGCTGCCAGAAAGGTCAAGTCTAACTGCTGGACTCTTAATTGTGACAGCTGATTCCGATTTAGGTCTTTGTAGATGTCAATAGTCAATGCCAGCCCAAATATCAAGGGAGAAAAACTCCACATCATAACTGAAAATACCTAACTTGCATGCACTAGCTACAAGCTCCACAAAGTTTGTAGGTTGCAAAAACAGTCTCTGTACAGTTTCTCATGGGAAAGCGAAAGACGGAACTGCTTGCAGACTTACTTTAAACACTGTGGAAATCTGCAGACCCATTCATAACTGTGGGCGGGATCCAGATTAATTCCCCCCCTAACGGAAGGCAGTTCATCTGTCAGCGGAACACAACTTTCCTGCTTCCCACTTCCTGCTGTAGCCCACTGGTCTCCTCAAAATACTGCTTCTGGAGAAAAGGGGATTGCACGCATGGAAAATCAAGGGCCTTCCACATGGAGGGGGGAATTAACAGAAATGCCCCCTCTTTTCTGTTATTGGAAAATTTAATCTGAATCCAACCCTATAAATGCTTATGGAAAATTATATATAAGGTATAATACATAACATATAATGGCTCACTATGAATTTAGGCAGCTGGTGAAAGCCAGCATGGCGTAGTGGTTAAGAGCGGGGAGACGCTAACCTGGGCTGTGCTCAGGCGGGCAGTTTGTCCCGATATAGTTGCTGTTCTGGATTAAATGGGCTCTGCCGCACAGCCACATCTGGCAGCCATACCCCAGTCTTACTCACCCCATCATATGACGAATTGGATATGGAGTAAATAGCCACCACAGGAACTCCAGTGCTCATGGATCCCCATGCATTCATCCCGCCAAGGCGGATGTCTGAACGCAGGGGAGCACACAAAAAAACGGATTGGCAATCTGAGCCCACCAATCCATTCCAGGTGGGTTTTGTCTAACCCTGCTCTGCAGTGCACATAAGCCTAGGCAGTGGCCAATCGGTTAACGGGGATCCAGGAAGGGACTCCTGAAATTCCTGATGGAGGCGCCACTTCAGTTGTGTGCATATGCACATGTGCCAGGGACAGTTAAAAAAATAGCCTGAACCATGTTACAAGGATGACGCTCTGTAACGCTGTGAATGATCCAATGTGGCCCGCACATGATATAAAGGCACCTCAGGGTGTGGTGTCTGACCAAGGTCCTCAGTTCCTGATTGAAACGGAGAGATTTGCCCTACCCCCAAACAGCCCCAAGCTTCCAGTCTGACCGCAGCCCTGGACAACTGGTTTACTTCCCCACTCCTCCATATGAAGCCAGCTGGGTGACCTTGGGCCAGCCACAGTTCTCTCGGAACTCTCTCAGCCCAACCTACCTCACAAGGTGCATGTTGTGAGGAGAGGAAGGGAAGGCAATTGTCAGCTGCTCTGAGACTCCATCATGTAGAGAAAGGTGGGGTATAAAAACCAACTCAACCTTATTCTGAGAGGGAAGGCAGGAAGGGAAGAGCCAGTGCTTGGCTCTTGTGGCCCCTCCTTATATGCCCAGGTTAATGCCGATTGCCACTTTGGGGTCAGGAAGGAATTTTCCTCCAGGCCAGATTGGCCCAGGGATCCTGGAGGGTTTTCACCTTCCTCTGGGCATACAGCAGGGTTCACGGGGGAAGTGGGGGGAGGGTAGCTGTGACTCCTGCATTGTGCAGGGGGTTGGACTAGATGACCATTGTGTCCCTTCCTGCTCTATGTTTCTATGTTTCTTTTCCTCAGTATTTAGGTACAGAATGTCCCACCTTCCCTAAATTTCACTTGTACAAGAGTCTTGGATAGATACTCAGAATAGCACTGATTAGTTGCTCAGGAGGGCAAACAATCACCTGCTCACCATCCCATATATATAATCGGTAGTATCCAAAGTCTCTAACTACAGTGGTGCTTGTGTCACCCCTGCTTCAGTATTAACCCAGAGAATTGTATGCATAGCCCCCTTTGGCCTCTACAATTCCTTATTTCACAAGGGATATATACCCACGTGCCAGAGAACTTGTTGAATCTTAACATTTACTAGTAATTCTTCAGATTTTGGGAAGCCTAGTGGGAACTGTCAAAACTGCCTGTGTCATTTTATTCATTTACTAGGAGTAAGGCCCGTTGTGGGAAGAAATACAACGAGCTCTAGAAGGAAGCTCCAGGTGAGTGTCCTGGCTGTGGCTGGTGGGGCAGCAGAGGTGTAATGTATTGAACGTGTTACATGAATCACTCCATTGACATCCTATGTTAAGCTTGAGCCGAACAAAGGCTCCTCTGATGTGAACTCCTATTGGTCGCTCTGCAACAGCGACCAATCAGAACTGCCACTGTTCCCTGTGAGGGAAGTAAGCTCATTGGTCTTTATCCAAACAACCTCATTGGTTGATTATTGTAAATAGGTGTGGCTATGTTAGCCCGGGAATGTTTAAAAGGAGCCTAGCTTCCAATTGTTTCTTGTTCTGGTTATGAATGTGTTTAAGTGCTTGTTCGTTACTTCAATAAAGCTGAATCACTTCTTTGCTGAAATCACTCTCCGATCCTTTGTTAGCGGCGATCTAACAAGAGGGAAGGGGAAAACAGAGGGAGGCAAGCCATGTTTATTTCCTTCTGCTTAGCTATAAGGCAGGGCTGTCTCAAGTCATTTTGCTGCCCCAAGTGGGTAGTATGGGAGGACAGCCACATGGTAACAGGTATGGTTCCCACCACCCTGACTTATGTTGATTTGGGGTTATGAAATGGCAGCTAAGGTAGATAAGAACTTCCTCCTATGCCATGTCTTCTGGGTCCAAGGGTCTGGAAAGTGCTTCCATAGCCAGTTACAGGGTTGCCAGCTCTGGGTTGGAAAATACCTGTAGATTTGAGGAGTAGAGCCTGAGGACGGTAGGGTTTGGGATGCAGAGGGACCTTAGCAGGGTATAATACCATAGAGTTCATTGCCCAAAGCAGCCATTTTCTCCAGAAGAACTGATCTTGGAGATCTGCAGGTGCTGCCTGGAGGCTGGCAATACTAAGGGGAGGGCCAGATTTGTAGATTTGAGGGGTAGAGCCTGGGGAGGGCAGGGTTTGAAGTGCGGAGGGACCTCAGCAGGATATAATGTCATAGAGTCCATTGCCCAAAGCAGCCATTTTCTCCAGAAGAACTGATCTTGGAGATCTCCAGGTGCTGCCTGGAGGCTGGCAATACTAAGGGGAGGGCCAGACCTGTAGATTTGAGGGGTAGAGCCTGGGGAGGGCAGGATTTGAGGTGTGGAGGGACTTCAGCAGGGTATAATGCCATAGAGTCCATTGCCCAAAGCAGCCATTTTCTCCAG